GTGATTCATTTTACAAAAGGTTTTGCTCTGTTTATGAGTCCTATGGTGTTTATGTTTTGAAACATCACAACAAAACGCACCATCCGTAAAATACCCGTATTTAACAGTATGATTTTCAATGTCGGCGTGTAGTGTCACAGAATACACAATTCACATGCAGTGCACGTGAAAGTTGGGGATCAGATAGTCTCAATGATGGGTATAAAAGGCTGATCGCTGTCTGACGATTATTCACTGTATTTGGAATATTGTTGACGAGCGCAAAATGCCACGTCTAAGTGAAGCCAACCGTCATATCGCCATTGGTTTGCTTGAAGCTGGCCAGTCTCAACGTGCAGTTGCCCGACGCATGAATGCTCACCAAAGCACAATTTCACGGCTCTGGGAGAGATATCGCCGGCAGAATGCCGTAGAAGATGCCCCTAGTAGTGGGCGACCTCGAGCGACCACTGCGGCGCAGGATCGCTACATCCGGGTACATCACCTGCGTCATCGAACAGCTTCGGCGACCAGTACCGCTCGACAAAAAACCGGATTGAGGAGGCTTTCTGCACAGACCGTCAGGAACAGGTTGAGAGAGGCTGGTTTACGTGCCAGAAGACCTTATTTTGGCCCTGTGCTTCGACAACAACATCGTCGACATCGAGTTCAATGGTGCACCAACGTCCAGGCCTGGAACCTACCGAATTGGCGTAGAATCTGGTTCAGTGATGAATCACGATTTCTATTTGAACGACGCGATGGAAGAATGCGGGTGTACAGACGTCGACGTGAACGTTTCGCCGACGCTTGCGTTCCCCAGGTGGACAGATTCGGCCGGGACAGTGTTATGATGTGGGGAGCGATCTCCTGCCGTAGGAGAAGTGATTTGGTGATGATCCAGGGCAACCTGACTGCTCAACGGTACTGTGACGAAATCCTACGCCCAATCCTCCTTCCAATCATTGATCGCCAGAGGGAGTTGTTTCAACAGGACAATGCCAGGCCCCACACAGCACGTCACACTAGAGACTTCCTCCAGAACCACAACATCAATGTGCTTCCCTGGCTCTCAAGATCACCGGACTTAAACCCGATCGAACATCTGTGGGATGCCCTGGACAAACGGGTGCGACGCCGTAACCCTCTGCCCCAGACACTTCAGCAAATCTCACAGGCACTACAGGCAGAGTGGGCTGCGATTGGGCAACACGAGATTCTGAGACTTATTCGTTCGATGCCGAGGCGATGCCGTGCAGTTGTGGATGCCCATGGTGGTCACACGAGGTATTGACTTCAGCGACACCACACGTCTCCATGTGACACTCAAACTGACTTTCCTCGAGTTGGTGCCAAAACGGATAAGTCTGCATTCCCAGTGTGCAATTTCGCTATATTTCATTGACTCATAAAGCCTACAAGATGTTTCAAAATAAACATAAAAATACAGTTGAAATTCCTATATGCGTTTCTTTTTGGGGAGAGTATATACATAACATATATATGTTGTTGATATATAAGTAGAATTGAAGTTTATTGGCGTTCTATGTATAAACTGATGTACCGAGGTTGGTTTTTATGTAAGTAAATTTGATTATGTCTATATGCAGAGCAACAATTTGTAAAATGTAGTGTCTGTGAGACTTTGTATAAAAGTATAGGTTTAATGAAGAGTAGGGTAGGAAATGAACCACTGATGACATATCAAAGATACCGTTCAGCTGTTGTGTTTTATGCGACTTTTCTCTTTTCAATTTTGATATCTTGTATACAGAACAAATTATATTTGTTTAAATTAATACACTATTGAAGTAACGCCAGTACATTTATTGATAATATAGATTGTAAGCCAAAAGTCACTGTGTTCTTTCTCTAATTGGTTTGAAAAACATGATCGAATGGTATTCGATTCCCGGAAATTGCAAGACCATTCGCTTCGTATTAATACCTACAAACATCGCACACACCATTGTATTGCTACGTCGTCAGCAGCAGTGACGTCATTCAAATCATATTGTGACGTAAACAAATGAGCAGTTTGTAAAACCTACGTTATTAAAAGCACAAACAGTGATACATCCAGCCATAATCTAGCGGTATAGATAAACACAAAGTACCGTTATATCAACCTGTATAGCTGTTATAGGGACTAATTCAGGACAGCCATGGTCCAAATATTTAAAAACTAAAAACTATTTACTCATGACATGTGAGACTTTATTGTAGTTATTTATACGATGCTAATCTGTATTCTATGCAATCCTTATCACTTCTGCATTGTACATTGACTTGTCAGGCAATTAATTACTGTATATGACATTTATAACCTAAATTGGTCATCCCCATTGGCCGTGTCTGCCATCACATCAACAGGTCAAGGAAGTGCTATGTGCCTGTCCATTGTTGTCAAAAACGGTATATATACTTATTATGCTCACATCTAGGGGGAGAAAAACAGAGACGAGTCCGGTATTCCGACTGTCTGTAGGGACGACCACGAGCAGGATAATACCGCTCGTAGGAAACGCCCTGGGGTTGAGCAGGTACTCCGCTCAACTCATTTATGTCTTGTGTATTTGTTTGTCATGTAACTAAAGAAGTTTGAACTCCTTCGTCTTGCCAACGTATTGTACGTACACTTCATCTTAAACATGAGCTAATGCCCCAGTCGACGCATATACGACGCGTTGACATAGCCATAAACTGACTGACTGAGTTTGGTTTTACGCGGCTTTTAGCAATATTCCAACAACATCACGGCGGGGGACACCAGAAATGGGCTCCACACATTGTGCCCATGTGGGGATTCGAACCCGGGTCTTCGGCGTGACGAGCCAACGCTTTAACCATTAGGCTACCCCACCGCCCCGACATAGCCATAAACCTTATAATAAAATGTATGAACCTCAAGCGACACAAGTAGCAGACAAAGCAGGAGTAAACACTAATGCTAATGCCGTCGGTTCCAAATGAATTCCAGTGCTTCAAATACTCAATAACACCCGGAAATTGGCCAACACATGATGTTTATCTCCTAAATCAAACGTGATAAAATTATCTGAGAAGAATCGTTTCTTTTGATCCTCAGTATATTTTACTTGTGTAAATTCAACTTTGGGAGGTTGTTATTTCTTATATAACATTGAGAATGTTCATTCACAATCTGCCTGACTCATCGCTATTTGGCTACAAAATAACTGATGCAATGTATAATTTTAACTCACTCACTCACTCACTCACTTCGTCATTCACAATCCGCGTGCAACCATGCAGCTGACAAAACGTGACAATATTTGAACATATTGAGGAAGCGAACCTTTTTTTCTAGAAAACTTCATAAGTCTTCATTCTCCAGCGGATTATCTAAAAGGTCGAATTAAACTTCATCTCGTCCTGACAAAAAGCTAATTAAGTAATTAAGAAAAATCGCTTTACAATTTTGGTTTAACTAGACATTTGATCTGGTTCTATTTCAGAGAAGGTTCTCTTAACGAGTCTTCAGCTGTCTGGGGGGCTCCGTGTCTCGCATTCCCCATTCAGATCAAACACCACAAAAACAAACGCTTCACAGTCACAGCCTTGTGTAATATATAAAAACGACTTTGTGGTGTATTGTGTAATTCTGGTGTATTTGTGCTGCAAGTTTGTCCACAACTGCTGTGACGCTGTGCGGAGTTTCCACACAGAGGATGTGTTTGTGTACTGCTTGTACACGGCTGTGCTCTAAACGGTAGTGCAAACAGTGCGCGGAGTTCCCATCTCTGATCACCTACGTCATATGTTTGTGACACTCTATTGTGACCCCTCGTTTGTCGCAGGAGTGAGTTAGGACAGTGGCTGGATAAATATGGATGGTTTAAAAAAACACCTTGTTGTCTGCCTCGTAATTATTAAAGCGACGGATATTTTTTGCAACGAAAAGGGTTAAAAGAAAACTACACGGCAAGGCATGAACATATTTTGAAATTAAAAGTAATGTATGTGTATGTTCATATGTGCCCAGTCAGCAATATCCCATCCATGTCACGGCAGTCTGCAAATAACGGAACCTGGGCCCTTATTCTTTCGTAGCCCTGAGAAAAGAATTCTTAACGTTGATCGTAGAATGTGTTAAGAATGGGCTTAATAAGTTTAGCCTTACGAATGTTTCGAGAATAGCTAGCCTGGGTCGGGTTATCCAAAATGTCGGAATTCGGTTATACGCAACAAGGTATGCTTGTGCCTCGACGGCGTTGTTTATATCAAACCAGTCAAGTTACTATTAATAGACTTACAACTACTTAACGTACACGATTAACTTTAGTACTACACTTTACTATGGAAGCTAAGAGAGAGGGAGAGGGGGGAGGGAGAGGGAGGGAGGAGGGGGAGAGGGAGGGAGGGAGGAAAAGGCGAGAGAGGGGAGGAGGGAGGGAGTAGAGAGGGAGGGAAAGAGGGAGGAAAGGAGAGAGGGAGGGAGGAAGAGGGACGGACGGACGGACGGGTGGGACAGATGGAGGGAGAGACAGTAAATAGCATGTGAGGTCGATGTTATGTGAAATTGCACATATGTGCTGCCCTTTGATGGTATTGTTTTTCACATACTCTTAAAGAGTTCATATTACGTCCAGTGCAATCAACTTTTATGTCATTCTGCGTTTTTTGCAGTGTCCACAATATCTAAAACATTAATGATATACTGCCTACATACCCAGTACTACCATACCCACACACTGCCTGTATTACGTGGGTTCAGTACTGACGTCTCATACCCAGTGTGTTTATGGGTACAGAAACCATAAATCGTGGTGTCCGTTGGATGGCGCTAACATGGCCATGCTCAGAGAGGGGCCATTATAAAATTCAGTGCACCGCGGGGTCAGGTGGACACATAGGTAGCTATGTGCTACACAGACTACCATGTATTCATGTCAATAAGTTATGGTTCACTCGAAACTACAGTTTGGGGCGTTATTGCGAGGACTGTGGGGAACGGTAGGGGGCATGAACAAAACTGAACTGTTGGTTTTATTTGTTTGCAGAAGCGGTGCTAAGGAGCAAAATCTATTTCAGCTCCGTTGTGAATGTGCGTCATAAGGAAGACTTGTCACTGGAACCACTGGCGTTCAGACTGGGATGAGTGACGTGGATATTGTTTTAATGTGTCAGCGTCGTTACAACGAGGAACATCAAGCCGTGCCTATGTGGAGAATCAAACCTAGACTATATGCATGATCAGTCACACATATCCTCACGCAAATACGTGTGTTTTTATCTTGACTGATTGTACCTGGTCCAATATGGTATCAATGAATTGTAAAGTCTGCATAATAAACAGCGAACTGCGCTCGTATCACTATCACACATGAGTCATCTGAACGGGCCGACCAGGTCAGTTGCTGGTAATGTATCCGGGTTGATCAATAACGTGATGCAAGAAGCGAATCTGTACGATGGTGCAGATATATCCATTAGCAGATTAGGTTAAAAAAGTTCCTGAGACATTGGACGAGCCCTGCTCCGTGCTGTGCCGTGCTAATAATGTTGAGTTAAGTACGGCAACTGGTCCTAATCTGAACTGGCAAAGGCAGGTGACATAAATCTGAACTAACAAAGGCAGGTGACGTAAATCTGAACTGGCAAAGGCAGGTGACATAAATCTGAACTAGCAAAGGCAGGTGACGTAACTCTGAACTAGCAAAGGCAGGTGACGTAAATCTGAACTAGCAAAGGCAGGTGACGTAAATCTGAACTAACAAAGGCAGGTGACATAAATCTGAACTAGCAAAGGCAGGTGACGTAAATCTGAACTGGCAAAGGCAGGTGACATAAATCTGAACTGGCAAAGGCAGGTGACATAAATCTGAACTAGCAAAGGCAGGTGACATAAATCTGAACTGGCAAAGGCAGGTGACATAAATCTGAACTAACAAAGGCAGGTGACATAAATCTGAATCTAGCAAAGGCAGGTGACGTAAATCTGAACTGGCAAAGGCAGGTGACATAAATCTGAACTAACAAAGGCAGGTGACGTAAATCTGAACTGGCAAAGGCAGGTGACATAAATCTGAACTAGCAAAGGCAGGTGACGTAAATCTGAACTAACAAAGGCAGGTGACGTAAATCTGAACTAACAAAGGCAGGTGACATAAATCTGAACTAGCAAAGGCAGGTGACGTAAATCTGAACTGGCAAAGGCAGGTGACATAAATCTGAACTGGCAAAGGCAGGTGACATAAATCTGAACTAGCAAAGGCAGGTGACATAAATCTGAACTGGCAAAGGCAGGTGACATAAATCTGAACTGGCAAAGGCAGGTGACATAAATCTGAACTAACAAAGGCAGGTGACGTAAATCTGAACTAGCAAAGGCAGGTGACATAAATCTGAACTAACAAAGGCAGGTGACGTAAATCTGAACTGGCAAAGGCAGGTGACATAAATCTGAACTGGCAAAGGCAGGTGACGTAAATCTGAACTGGCAAAGGCAGGTGACATAAATCTGAACTAGCAAAGGCAGGTGACGTAATTCTGAACTACCTCAACCCTGTACTAAACGTTTTAACCTGGCAAGTATCTTGATGTAGTAACTCCTCCAGCATAAGATGTAAATGTACTGACTTGGTACAGCGGATGGGGGCGTAAGGTAACTAAAACCATGAGACAATAATATTCTGTTTCCGTCATAAAGGCTGGTCATAGATGGATATTTGTTGACGCAAACATGGATATTTTACTAAAAGCAGGTTTTGTCATACAAAGCATAGTATACTGAAATATCATTTCTCTTAATCAAACAAAACGATTCAATTTGTCTTCACAAACTGTCACGATCGCGAGTTTGTTTCTCTTGAAATGTCATGGAGAGCAGTGCAGTGATATTTGTAATCATGAATTATCGGTTAGTATGCGTCAGTTTTCCTGTCGCCACCGCCGTTAAATACTACACGGCTTACATGTACTACATATCCACTATACAACATCGATGACGTCATTAGACATGGTTGTACACAATGTCCCTTTGTTACCATCCGGAAATAATAGAAGATATTGTACATTAGTGTTATAACGGCAAATGCAGATGTACCACGTGTATTCAATAGTAGCATCATACAAGGATGCCCATTATGACCCTATTTTTTCAGATACTATCAGCAGATAATCGTTTATACATCGAAGTCTGTTACGATCTATTATGGCAAAGGCAATTATGCTGTATGTAGTCAATTGCACCTTCAGACAAGACCTTTTCTCTATGTTTTCGAGAGCATCACCAGATAACATTGGATTGCAAATCACATTGCATGTAAAACATATATGAAGTATGTGAAGGCATCAGACACGGATGTATATTAGGCCCTATCTTTTATAGAACATCCGCTTATAACCCATCAGATTGCGATGTTACAATGACACCTGGTGTTTCTCAGTATTGACGGTCGAGAGATGACCTTTGCATAAAATGCCAATGTAAACGTGTGTCCAGGCTCTCAAATATTGGCCACGGATTAACAGAGGTCAGGAAATCAGATCAGTCCTGTCTCGACGCCTGACCCAGTTTCAAATGGACGAGGCATGTCATTCCATACGCAGGTTACGACAGTCGGAGGTGTACATCGGTGTCGTTGTCATTGTCTAAAAAGGGAGCTTAATTACCTAAGGGATGGTATTGCTGGTAGTAGGTTGGCCGGTAATACGATCGTTGTCTCCACTCTGTCGTGAGGATTATGTTAGAGTACATGCAGGTCTCAAATGTCCCATGGTTGTCGTGTGAATCGCCTACAGCGGGGAACGGATAGAAAGATTCACGACTGCGAGTCCTGATGCAGTTATGGTGGGGATGTTTTCTGCGCTACTGTTTTTGTGGGTTTTCTCTAAGAGATAAAGACCCGTGATGATCCGGGGTAGAATAGGTCTTCAGCAACCCATGCTTGTCACAGAAGGCGACTATGCTTGTCGTAAGAGGCGACTAACGGGATCGGGTGGTCAGGCTCGCTGGCTTGGTTGACACATGTCATCGGTTCCCAATTGCGCAGATCGATGTTCATGATGTTGATCACTGGATTGTCTGGTCCAGACTCGATTATTTACAGACCGCCGCCATAAAGCTGGAATATTGCTGCGTGCGGCGTAAAACTAAACTCACTCACTCACTCACTATGAGATTAATGACAGGCTGGAACATTGCGGCTCTAAACAACGTCCGCTCACCACAAATCAAATTACACTACACAATAAATAAATGAGACTTCGTGACACAGGACATCCACATCACGTGGTATCTTCACTGTTGTAATTAGAGCCAAGGCGGCGCTACAGCGATTTATCCCATGGCGTTGGTTCCTGAAAACCTAAACATGGTAACTGGGAATCCAGGGGGAAGGCGGTATGATTGAAACCATTGACTATATATCGTTGTATAGAAACGAATTCAGTCTATTTCATAATACAGGACAAAAATGTAAAGATGGATTTGACCTAATTGCTGAAATAACGTCAAACCATTACTAGGAATTTCAAAAATAATATGTGTGAAAGCATTTAATTTACTATACTGAAAACAATCTGCAAAACACAGCTGACTTAAGGACCAAAATACTACTATATGAACCACTAGATAACCATATGTTGTTTTGTTTCATATTTAGCCGCCATCGAACATAGGTGCTTACTTTCTTTTGACCGTCAGTTTTAATACAAATGAGATTAAAGGAAGTCCGTTGAAGATGGAGTAAAATCCCTCAACTCACTCACTTATACATAAGTGGAGCGTATCAGCGTTTTTTCTCATTGTGTAATTTCAATCTTTATCTCCTGCATATTTCACCAGCTCAGTAAAGGCAACACTGTATCTATATACAACATATGTCTTTCCATATGTATGCATCAATAAGATAACCATTTAATTATGCTTTTTCTGATATGTTATTTCAGTTTGTCCTTTGGGGCTTATACGGGTATATTTTCCTTTATCACTCGTTGTCAAGTGTCTTTCCTCAAGTGTCTTTCCTCAAGTGTATTTCCTCAAGTGTCTTTCCTCAAGTGTCTTTCCTCAAGTGTCTTTCCTCAAGTGTCTTTTCGTTGTGCCGTGGCTTCGTGATGTACGACAATACAGACACAGTGTTGAATATTGAGTAAGTGTCAAAACATATGGCATTGAGAAGCGTCAGGGTGGAACGGATCCTAGTGTTCCCACTGAAGGTCACCCTGATGTCTGAGGTTATTTATGTACATGGGATATTTTCTCACGGTTTCCTACCGCTGGGGAGACACTGGGGTGGGAGTAGAGTTTCCCAACACTGGCCACCAGTTGTTGTCCAGAAAGTTGGGATAGGGACAATGGGTGTTTCATTAAATGTCTGATAGTATGTGAGTGAGTGAATGAATGAGTTTAGTCTGGACCAGACAATCCAGTGATTAACAGCATGAGCATCGATCTACGCAATTGGGATACGATGACATGTGTCAACCAAGTCAGCGAGCCTGACCGCCCGATCCCATTAGTCGCCTCTTACGACAAGCATGGGTTCCTGAAGACCGATTCTAACCCGGATCTTCACGGGTCGTTAGTGTGTGAGTTACCCATCAGGATAGCTATTCTCGAAACGTTCGTAACCGTACGAACTTCGTAAGCCCATTCTTAACACAATGGCTACGATCAAAGTTCAGAATTCTTAAGGCTACGAACGTTTCGAGAATAAGGGCCCAGTTCGATAATCCTGTATTCCTGTATATCACGGCGTCCCTGCTTGATGTGGGAGGAAAGCCCGAAGTAATGCAGGTCTTAGGCATTTGTTAGTATGAAGAAACCAATGAACAAGGGTATCTTATGAACAAACTTAGACACGTAATCAACAAGAACAGGATTCGAACCCAACATTACAAGATCCTGGCTCACTGACGGGTCGCAACTCGTGGGCTTAGACTCGGCGGTATATGACTGATATGAACTTTCACAGCAGCTATGTCAGTTTTGTTTCCCGGTGGGGTAGCCTAGTGGTTAAAGCGTTCGCTCGTCACGCCAAAGACCAGGGTTTGATCCCCACATGGGTACGATGTGTGAAGCTCATTTCTGGTGTCCCGCGTCGAGATATTGCTGGAATATTGCTAAAAGAGGCATAAATATCACCCATTCTCTATCAACACTAATTAATTTTTCTTGTTTGATGCTTTCTTATACACTGGCCTCACAAATAGGCATCACAAACCATCTCCCTATTCGGGACTTGTACGCGTAAATGTGGGTTTTCCTTGTCGGGGCGTTTATACATTCCAGCCATGTACGACTTCACAGCAAACAAACATACGTCTTTGGTAACGCCCACGAAACGTGAATGTTTTTGTCACTGCAACAACCTTATC